CCCACTCGGTGTGCTTGTGCCCGCCTGTGTGCTTGTCCCCACCCCGTGTCCTTGTCCCCCCCCTGTGTCCTTCTTGGGGGTACCCTGTGTGCTTGTCCCCACCTGTGTGCTTGTCACCAACCTGTGTCATTGTCCTCACCCCGTGTCATTGTCCCCACCCCGTATCCTTCTTGGGGGTACCCTGTGTGCTTGTCACCAACCTGTGTCATTGTCCCCAACCTGTGTCCTTGTCCCCACCCTGTGCCTGATGCCCCACTCTGTGTCCTTGTCCTCACCCTCTGTCCTTGTCCCCACCCTGTGTACTTGTCCCCACCCCGTGTCCTTGTCCCCACCCTGTGTCCTTCTTGGGGATACCCTGTGTCCTTGTCCCCAACCTGTGTCATTGTCCCCACTCTGTGTCCTTGTCCCCCCCGTGTCCTTGTCCTTACCCCCTGTCCTTGTCCCCACTCCGTGTCCTTGTCCCCTCCCTCAGGACATGTCCCCAACCCTTTGTCCCCTCACTGGGGACCCCCAACCCCCCGATCTGCACTTGGGTCACTTTGCCCTGCAGGACTGATTTGTCCTCCTTGGGGACACCTCGGGGACATGTCCCCACCCTTGGTGTTGTTCAGCCACCCCTCAGGACACGTCCCCAGTGTCCCCACCCCTCAGGACACGTCCCCAGTGTCCCCAGCCCCCTGCCACCCCATTTGGGGACATTGATCTGCACTCTCCGTGTAACCTGGGACACTGCTTTATCCTTGGTGCCACCTGCGGGGTGTGTCCCCAAGCTGCCCGCAGTGTCCCCACCCCTCAGGACACGTCCCCAGTGTCCCCAGCCCCCTGCCACCCCATTTGGGGACATTGATCTGCACTCTCCGTGTAACCTGGGACACTGCTTTATCCTTGGTGCCACCTGCGGGGTGTGTCCCCAAGCTGCCCGCAGTGTCCCCACCCCTCAGGACACGTCCCCAGTGTCCCCAGCCCCCTGCCACCCCATTTGGGGACATTGATCTGCACTCTCCGTGTAACCTGGGACACTGCTTTATCCTTGGTGCCACCTGCGGGGTGTGTCCCCAAGCTGCCCGCAGTGTCCCCACCCCTCAGGACACGTCCCCAGTGTCCCCAGCCCCCTGCCACCCCATTTGAGGACACTGATCTGCACTCTCAGTGTAACCTGGGACACCGATTTATCCTTGGTGCCACCTGCGGGGTGTGTCCCCAAGCTGCCCGCAGTGTCCCCACCCCTCAGGACATGTCCCCAGTGTCCCCAACCCCTGCCACCCCATTTGGGGACACTGATCCGCACACCCAGTTTGACCTGGGCCACCTGGGGGGTGTGTCCCCAAGCTGCCCGCAGTGTCCCCACCCCTCAGGACATGTCCCCAGTGTCCCCAACCCCTGCCACCCCATTTGGGGACCCCAATCTGCACACTCAGTTTGACCTGGGCCACCTGGGGGGTGTGTCCCCAAGCTGCCCGCAGTGTCCCCACCCCTCCGGACGCGTCCCCAGCCCCTTGTCCCCTCATTTGGGGACCCCAGCCCCCACCTGCCTTCCCGATCTGCACGGCCAGCTGGGTCAGCTTGGCCTGGAGCACGGACTTCTCCTTCTTGGGGCCACCTCGGGGACGCGTCCCCGGCCCGTCCCCGCTGTCCCCTCCCTCGGCGCTCTTCAGCGGCTGCATCTCCATGGCCACCGCCCCGTCCTGCCGCTTGCCTGGGGACACCGGCCACGTGGCAGGGGGACAAGGGGGGCACGCACAGGGAGGGGGGTTTGGGGTTGTCCCCACCCGACCCCAAAGCACCTTTGGGTTGTGGGGCGTCCACGGCGCCATCCTGCGGCTTCCCTGTGGGACAAAGCGGGGTGGGGACACCCCGAAATGTGACCTGGGGGGGACAGGGAGAGCCCCCGGCGTGGGGACAGGGAGGGGTGGTGGCACTGGGGTTGGGGGAGGGGAGTGGCAGTGGTGGCACTGCTGGGGACAGGGATGGGAGGGGTCGGGGACAGAGGGGGACAGAGGCTCTGGGGACAGAGGGGACAGAGAAAGAAAGAGGGGGACACAGGGTCTGGGGACCTTGGGGACAGAGGAGGACACAGGGGGACAGAGGGGTCTGGGGACCTTGGGGACAGAGGACACAGGAGGGGGACACAGGAGTCTGGGGACCTTGGGGACAGAGAACACAGGGGGACACAGGGGTCTGGAGACCTCGGGGACAGAGAACACAGGGGGACAGGGGGTCTGGGGACCTTGGGGACAGAGAAGGACAGAGGGGGACAGAGGGGTCTGGGGACCTTGGGGACAGACTGGGACAAAGTCCATGGGGACAGAGTGGAACAGAAGGGTCTGGAGCCCTCAGGGACACCGGAGGGACTTGGGGACAGAAGGTGACAGTTCCCACAGGGTCACCAGCCACCCACGGTGCCACCCGTGCCAGATTCCTTGGGGACAGTGCCACCCAGTGCCAGCCCCCTTGGGGCCACCAGCCACCCACGGTGCCACCCGTGCCAGATTCCTTGGGGACAGTGCCACCCAGTGCCAGCTCCCGGGGAGCCACCCCCGGCTGCGGTGTCACCTTTCCTGTCCCTGCCGTCGTCCTCGTCGTCCCCCGCGGCGCCCAGCAGGGTGAAGATGATGCCGCTCTGCGAGTTGACCCAGTTTGACCTGGGCCACCTGGGGGGTGTGTCCCCAAGCTGCCCGCAGTGTCCCCACCCCTCCGGACGCGTCCCCAGCCCCTTGTCCCCTCATTTGGGGACCCCAGCCCCCACCTGCCTTCCCGATCTGCACGGCCAGCTGGGTCAGCTTGGCCTGGAGCACGGACTTCTCCTTCTTGGGGCCACCTCGGGGACGCGTCCCCGGCCCGTCCCCGCTGTCCCCTCCCTCGGCGCTCTTCAGCGGCTGCATCTCCATGGCCACCGCCCCGTCCTGCCGCTTGCCTGGGGACACCGGCCACGTGGCAGGGGGACAAGGGGGGCACGCACAGGGAGGGGGGTTTGGGGTTGTCCCCACCCGACCCCAAAGCACCTTTGGGTTGTGGGGCGTCCACGGCGCCATCCTGCGGCTTCCCTGTGGGACAAAGCGGGGTGGGGACACCCCGAAATGTGACCTGGGGGGGACAGGGAGAGCCCCCGGCGTGGGGACAGGGAGGGGTGGTGGCACTGGGGTTGGGGGAGGGGAGTGGCAGTGGTGGCACTGCTGGGGACAGGGATGGGAGGGGTCGGGGACAGAGGGGGACAGAGGCTCTGGGGACAGAGGGGACAGAGAAAGAAAGAGGGGGACACAGGGTCTGGGGACCTTGGGGACAGAGGAGGACACAGGGGGACAGAGGGGTCTGGGGACCTTGGGGACAGAGAACACAGGGGAACACAGGGGTCTGGAGACCTCAGGGACAGAGAACACAGGGGGACAGGGGGTCTGGGGACCTTGGGGACAGAGAAGGACAGAGGGGGACAGAGGGGTCTGGGGACCTTGGGGACAGACTGGGACAAAGTCCATGGGGACAGAGTGGAACAGAAGGGTCTGGAGCCCTCAGGGACACCGGAGGGACTTGGGGACAGAAGGTGACAGTTCCCACAGGGTCACCAGCCACCCACGGTGCCACCCGTGCCAGATTCCTTGGGGACAGTGCCACCCAGTGCCAGCCCCCTTGGGGCCACCAGCCACCCACGGTGCCACCCGTGCCAGATTCCTTGGGGACAGTGCCACCCAGTGCCAGCCCCCTCGGGGCCGCCCCCAGTGCCAGCTCCCGGGGAGCCACCCCCGGCTGCGGTGTCACCTTTCCTGTCCCTGCCGTCGTCCTCGTCGTCCCCCGCGGCGCCCAGCAGGGTGAAGATGATGCCGCTCTGCGAGTTGACCCCCACGGCCGTCACCACCATCCTGCCCGAGCCCTCCATGACGTGCGTGCCTGGCGGGGACACGGCGGGTCACGGCGCGGTCCCCCGGGCGTGGCCGGTGTCCCCGAGCGTCCCTCACCCGAGAGCAGCAGCGGGTCCTTGTCCAGGGACTTGCGGACGTGGTCGCTCTCCCCGGTCAGGGCGCTCTCGTCGATCTTGAGGTCGTTGCCCTGGATCAGGACCCCGTCGGCCGGCAGGAGGTCACCTGCGAGGGGACAGGGCCACCACGGTGTCACCGGGGAGCTTGGGGGCGTCCTGGGGTGTCCCCAGGCCAGGTGTCGGGGCTGTGTCACCACGGTGTCACCAGAACCTTGTGGTGTGTCCTGGTGTCCCCTGGGGTGTCCCCAGGCCAGGTGTCAGGGTTGTGCCACCACAGTGCCACCAGAACTTTGTGGCGTGTCATGGAGTGACCATGGACCCTGTGATGTCCCCTGGGGTGTCCCCAGACCAGGTGTCGGGGCTGTGTCACCACGGTGTCACCAGAACTTTGTGGCATGTCCTGGTGTGACCCAGGACCTCATGGCGTGTCATGGAGTCACCATGATGTCCCCTAGGGTGTCCCTGGACCAGGTGTCGGGGCTGTGCCACCACGGTGTCACCAGGGCCTTGTGGTGTGTCCTGAGGTGTCCTGATGTCCCCTGATGTGCCATCGTGTGCCCACGGGTGCAGGGACACAAGAGGACACGGGGATGGGGACACGGTGATGGCAGCGGGATGGGGATGGTGACACAAAGGTGGGGACAGAGGATGGGGACACAGGGACTGGGACAGGAATGGCATCAGGACGGGGATGGTGACACGGGGATGGGGACAGGGGATGGGGACACAGCGATGGGGTCACTGGTATGGGGACACAGGGATGGGGACACTGGTATGGGGACAGGGGATGGGGACACAGAGATGGGGACACGGGGATGGGGACACAGGGATGTGCACAGGGGATGGGGACACAGGGGATGGGGACACAGGGGATGGGGACAGGGGATGGTGACAGGGGATGGGGACACTGATGTGGGGACAGGGGATGGGGACAGGGGATGGTGACAGGGGATGGGGACACTGATGTGGGGACAGGGGATGGGGACATGGGGATGGTGACGCGGGGATGAGGACAGGGGATGGCATTTGGGTGGGGACAGGGGATGTGGACACAGCGATGGGGACAGGGGATGGCATTGGAGTGGACACAGGGGATGGGGACACCGGTACGGAGACAGGGGATGGGGACACAGAGATGGGGACACGGGGATGGGGACACTGATGTGGGGACAGGGGATGTGGACACAGCGATGGGGACAGGGGATGTGGACACAGCGATGGGGACAGGGGATGTGGACACAGCGATGGGGACAGGGGATGTGGACACAGCGATGGGGACAGGGGATGTGGACACAGCGATGGGGACAGGGGATGTGGACACAGCGATGGGGACAGGGGATGGCATTGGGATGAGGACAGGGGATGGGGACAGGGGATAGACACGGCAGTCATGATGGCCACACGAGACCCCCAGCACGACCCCTCCCCCGTGTCCCCGCCGTGTCCCCAGCCGCCGCCACTCACCGTACTTGACCTGCACCACGTCCCCCACCACCAGGTCGGCCACGGGCACCTGCGCCAGGCGCCCCCCGCGCAGCACGGCCACGCGCTGCTCGCGCTCCAGGCGGCTCTGCAGCCCGCGGAACTGGCGCTCCTTGCTCCAGTCGTTGGACGCCGTCACCAGCACCACGCAGGCCACCGAGAGCAGGATGGCCGCGCCCTCGATCCAGCCCGCCTCCGCCTCGCCCGCGTCCTCCGCGCCGCCCGACGCCTGCCCGCACGCTGGGGACGCGGGGGGAGCGTCACGCGCGGGGGGACGGGGGGACCCGCGTGGGGACGGCGGGGAGGGAGCGTCACGCGCGGGGGGACAGAGGGGACACGCGTGGGGACAGCGGGGACACATGTGGGGATGGTGGTGACACACGTGGGGACAGCGGAGAGGGAGCGTCACGCGCGGGGGGACAGGGGAACATGCGTGGGGACAGCGGGGACACACGTGGGGACACGGGGACACACGTGGGGACACGCATGGGGACAGCAGGGAGGGAGCGTCACGAGTGGGGGGACACGGGGACACTCGTGGGGACAGTGGGGACACAAGTGGGGGCAGAGGGGACACGCGTGGGGACACGGGGACACATGTGGGGATATCAGTGACACACGTGGGGACAGCGGGGAGGGAGCGTCACACGTGGGGGGGGACAGCAGGGACACGCGTGGGGACACGGGGACACGCGTGGGAATGGTGAGGACACGCGTGGGGACAGCGGGGACATGTGTGGGGACACACGTGGGGACAGCAGGGAGGGAGCGTCACGCGTGGGGGGACAGCGGGGACACGCGTGGGGACAGCGGTGACACATGTGGGGACACGCGGAGGGAGCATCACGCGCGCGGGGACGGTGGAGACACACGTGGGGACAGAGGGGACACGCGTGGGGACAGTGGGGAGGGAGCGTCACGCGCGCAGGGACGGTGGGGACAGCTGGGACGGAGGTGACACACGTGGGGATATCGGTGACACACGAGGGGACATGGGGGACAGAGGTGTCACAGTTGGGGACAGGGGTGACACATGTGGGGACATGTGGGGATATGAATGACACACATGAGGACACCAGTGTCACGCACAGGGACATGGCCGGGGGTGCAGGGGACGTTGGATGGCGATTTGGGGACATGGGGATGGCAGTGGGGTGGGGACACAGAGCTGGGGATATGGGGACAGCAGGTGGGACACAGGGATGGGACACGGGCAGGGGACACAGGGATGGGACACAGGGATGGGGACACAGGGATGGGACACAGGGATGGGGACACGGGGATGGGACACAAGGATGGGGACACAGGGATGGGGACACAGGGATAGGACACAGGGATGGGGACAGGGATGGGGACACGGTGCCGGGGCCGTGGGGACAGCGGTGTCACCTTCATCGGCGGCGCCGGGGGGCGCGTAGAAGGACAGCCCGAGGGACACGAGCGCGGCCACCTCGAGGATGACGAGGGTGACGTCCTGCAGGGCCTCCCACACCAGCGCCGCGAAGCTCTTGGGGCGCCGCGGGGGGATCCAGTTCCGGCCGAACGCCCGGCGGCGGCGCTCCAGCTCGGGGGGACCCTCGGACAGCCCTGGGGACACGGCTGTCACCCACCGCCACCCTGGGGACACCCTGGGGACACCCTGACAGCCCTGGGGACACCCTGGGGACACCCTGGGGACACCCTGACAGCCCCACAGCCACCCTGGGGGCATGGCTGTCACCCACCGCCACCCTGGGGACACCCTGACAGCCCCACAGCCACCCTGGGGACACCCTGGGGACACCCCGACAGCCCTGGGGACAGCCTGGGGACAGCCTGGGGACACCCTGGGGACACCCTGACAGCCCTGGGGACACCCTGGGGACACCCCGACAGCCCCACAGCCACCCTGGGGGCACGGCTGTCACCCACCACCACCCTGGGGACACCCTGGGGACACCCTGGGGACACCCTGGGGACACCCTGACCGCCCTGGGGACACCCCGACAGCCCTGGGGACACCACGGGGACACCCTGACAGCCCTGGGGACACGGGTGTCACCCCACGGCCACCCTGGGGACCCCTGGCTCACCCACAGGTCCCTCTGGCCTGGGGGTGTCGTGATGGGCCTGGGGGGGTCCTGGGGGGGTTCCCGGGGGATTGAGGGGGGGTCTGGGGGATCAGGGAGGGGTCCCGGTGTGATTCTGGTGGGTTTTGGGGGGTCTCGAGGGGTTCTGCAGGGTCTCGGTGGGTCTGGGGGGTTTTGGGGGCGCCCCAGTGGGTTTTGGGGGCTCCCAGGGGGTCCCGGTGGGTTTTGGGGGGTTCCAATGAGTTCTGCAGGGTCCCGGTGGGTCTGGGGGGGTCCCGGTGGGTTTTGGGGGTCCCGGTGTGTTTTGAGGGTCCCGGAGGGTCCCGCCGGGTCTGTGGGGTTTTGGGGGGAGGGGTCCCGGTGTGTTTTGTGGCTCCCGGTGGGTCCCGGTGGGTCTTGGGGTTTTTGGGGGGCTCCCGATGGGTCTGGGGACTCCCGGTGAGTCTGGGGAGTCCTGGTGGGTCTGGGGGTTTTTGGGGGGCTCCCGGCGGGTCTGGGGACTCCCGGTGGGCCTGGGGGTTTTTGGGGGGGTCCCGGCGGGTCTGGGGGGTCCCGACAGGTGTGGGGGCTCTCGGTGGGTTTTGGGGATTCCCAGGTGGTCCCCGTGTGTTTTGGGGGTCCCAGTGTGTTTTGAGGGTCCCAGGGGGTCCCGGTGGGTCTGGGGGTTTTTGGGGGGCTCCCGGCGGGTCTGGGGGCGGTACCGTCGGTGGGGGAGGTGCGCAGGCGGCGGCAGAGCCCCGGGACCCCCCCCAGGTCCCGCTGCAGCCTCAGCAGCGCCTCGGGGCCGCGCAGCTCCATCAGCGCCCGCAGCTCCGGCAGCGCCAGCCCGAAACCCCCCCCGGCGTCCCCCATGGCGGCCTGCGAGGGGACAGCGTGGGGACAGCTGGGGACACAGCGGGACAGCGTGGGACAGCGTGGGAAAGAGTGGGGACAGCGTGGGACAGAGTGGGGACAGTGTGGGACAGAGTGGGGACAGTGTGGGGACAGTGTGGGGACAGCGTGGGGACAGCTGGGGACACAGCGGGACAGCGTGGGACAGAGTGGGGACAGAGTGGGACAGAGTGGGGACACAGCGGGGACAGCGTGGGACAGAGTGGGGACAGCGGGGACAGTGTGGGGACAGCGTGGGGACAGCGGGGGACACAGCGGGACAGCGTGGGACAGAGTGGGGACACAGCGGGGACAGCGTGGGACAGAGTGGGGACAGAGTGGGACAGAGTGGGGACACAGCGGGGACAGCGTGGGACAGCGTGGGACAGAGTGGGGACAGTGTGGGGACACAGCGGGGACAGCGTGGGGACAGCGTTGGGGACAGAGTGGGACAGAGAGGGGACAGAGTGGGGACAGCGTGGGGACGGAGTGGGACAGAGTGGGACAGAGTGGGGACAGCGTGGGACAGAGTGGGGACAGCGCGGGGACAGCAGGGGGGACAGCCTTGGGGACAGGGGACACGGCTGGGGACAGCGCCCCTCACCTGTCAGCGCTGGCGGGGCCTGGGGGGGGTCTCGCCGGGGGGGGCCCGGCCGCCCCCCCTGTCCGGGCCACACCTGGGGACAGCGGGGACACCTGAGGGGACAGCGGGCAGCGCCCCGCCCCCGGGGACACCAGGGACCCCCAGGGACCCCCAGTTCCTTCCCATAACTCCCAGTGTCCCCAGAAAATCCCAGTTCTTCCAGTCCCCCCCTACCAGTTCCCCACAGTCCCTCCCAGTCCTCCCAGTAACTCCCAGTCTCTCCAGCCCCCCCAGTCTTCCCAGTAACTCCCAGTTCTTCCCAATAACTCCCAGTCCCCCCAGTTCCCCCACTAAATCTCAGTTCCCCCCAGTCCCCCCAGTCCCCCC